GGGGGGGGGGGGGGAGCGTGGGTGACAGCAAACAAAATGCCAGATCCGCTCATCAACCGACTGCCAAGCAGATGGGATGAGACACCCAGAGCAGGAAAAAGAAACACTTGTAGGTTTCTGTACACGGGAGCCATGGAAATAGTCAGGCTGCGTCAGATTTCTAACCATTTATATATATATAGAGAGAGAGAGAGAGATCTATATATTTTTGCAGGGTACTTTAAAAAGCTCCGTGGCCTTAAATAGCTAACCAAAGAATGGGGTGAGCCTGTGAACCCCAACGCAGAGGATGCCTCGCTTATGAAGTTCTCCACATTGGAAAGGGGCTCTGATCTGGATGTTAATCATATTGATGATAACCTGTAACACTTACCAGGAGTTGACTGCAAGGTGCTGGGTAGGGATTGTGATTATCCCACATTGTAGATGGAGAAACTTTCTTCCTAGCCAAAATCTGAGGTGGGATAAAGTTCATTTCTCTCCTTTATGCCCCAAAGTGCTGTCATTGGCACTTACTCCTTGCTAAACATCACTTCTTAGCTGATTGAGGTATCAATGAATTTTTCACTTCAAAAAGGGACAAGGCAGGCTATATTTGTCAGGCAGCACAGGGGTGTCCATAAAGTTTCCTCTTCTAGGTTACCATGTGCTTCCTCACAGGCAGGTGTTGATAAAGGTCTCTCTTTTCTTTAGAAGTACAATGACATCCTCTGTCTGGGGTGTCAGTAAAGTTTCCTTTTCTTGTAGGTCATGTTATGCTAACAGTGAGGTGTCACTAAAGTTCCCTTTCTTTTAGGAACCCCACAACATCCTGCCTGCCTGGATTGTTGATCAAGTGCTGCCTCTTCCCTCTCATTTTTCTTAAGCCACCTCTCTAGAACAGGGCTACTACTGCCACTGGGATGGGCCTCAGTATGCCTCTAGAGCATGGACATATTTTTCATGTGTTTCACTTGGTTGGGATAAAGAAACAAATTCCCACATTCAGAACTATCACTTGGTAAGGGTGGACCAGATCTGATAATGGGCCAATGGGTTCTGAGCTCCCCTAGGGCTTCCTGAGAGGGGCGAAAGGGAAGGACTGAAGGTCTAGCCAAGTGAGTCATAATCCAGGTTAGTCTTGACTCTCCTTTTGGAGGACAGTGTCACCAGCATCCATAACAACTGTCTACCTTCCAGTGACACTGGCAGGCAAATCCTTGCCTGTTTTTGCAGTATTGTCACCCTATGGTAGCCAGAAATGAGATTGGCTAGGCACTGGTGGGAATGGGTCCATGACCCTCTCCCCTTCTCTGTAAGCTCCCCTGTCTGTCCTGGCCAGAATCGCTGGTGCTCCTCAGCCTGCGAGGGATTTAATTTATTGTTCTGCTTGTATGTTTCACAGGAAATAAAAGGGCAAACATGAGGCTTGGTTCTGACTGTACCTTGGAAAACCTGTTGTTTCAGTCCGCGCCGTGTCATACTTCACTGGGGACTTCCCAAAATCCAAAGCAGGGCCCCTCAAAAGAGATTATTAAAAAACCTGTGGGGTCAGAAGGAAAAGATGAAAACTAGCCAATAAACAGGGACCAAGGGACAGAGCCGAGGAGATTATTTTTTTTTGCTTGAAACATTTTGTCAGAAAAAACTGCGACACAGAAACATTTCATAAATGAATCTCTCCTTTATTATTTTTGCCAAATTGTCACATTGGAGAGGGGAAAAAATAGGAGAGAAAAGTTGAAACATTTTGTTTTGACATTTGTGAAATGCAGTGTTTTGATTTTTTTACATGCAAGATGATTTTGTGTTTTGAAATTTCGTTCCATTTTAAATTTTCTTTAAAAAAATTTTAAAAGCTTGACTAGGAAATGCTTCATTTGACCCAAAACAATTTCTGTTTTACTAAAAAATGTCAAAAACAATTACATTTTGGGCAGATCAGAATCCAGCTTGCTTTGCTTTATCCTTTGGAATTACCAGTGAACCCAACATCCATTCTTTGTCTACATCTGCTGGCAAGTACGTTGCAACCGCCCCTTTTCACTGTGGCAGAAATTAGCTTCTGCACAAGGTCCCCTATTGACTCCATGGATGGTCTGAAGGAGGAGAGGTGCAGCGAGGGAGCTGGAGGGATCAAGCAGGTAGGTTGGCTGGTCAAGTTGATGTTGAAGCAAAGGGCTCCAAAGGGAATGGAGTGGGTAGTGATCTGTCAAAGGAAAGTCAGTGCTAGACTTGTAGATGGGTACCCCCTGGAAAGGAAGATGCGCTTTACAGGTCTCTTGATCCCCGTAGGAGGTGGGCCTGTATCTCAGGCACAAAGAGTTGCAAATGGGATCATGATGCCTATGTTACCTCTTTGTGCGGCTTCATCTGAGTGCTAGGTGCAGTACTGGGCACCCTAACTCCACAATGAGGTGTCAGAATGAGTTCATAGAGGCACTGGCAGGGCCAAGTGGGGCACTTCAGCCTGGGGCTTGACCGGCAGGTGACCCCCTTGGTAATGGGAACAGGTTCTCATGCTTCAGGGAGGCACAACCAGTTCTGACCTACAGCCCCTGAGGACCAGGACCTTAGGGTTGTTGCTCATTGGTTGTTATCTAGATTAGATGGACAGCATCCTCAGTGCTGCTGTCTTCATCCAAGTTACAGCTTGTGATGGTGTGTCAGGACAAAGCAGACCTGGCTGTAGGATATCGGTTACATTCCTTCTGCTGCCTCCAGCAGGACGTGCTATCTCCTGGCAGACAGTGCCAGCCTAGTCAGTGGCACCGGGGCACTGGATCCCAGTACAGTTTTCAAGGGCTACTGTGCTGCTGTCAGCTCTGCCTGTCAAAGGATGCTTACATTTGGGTGGGTGGGTTTTTAATAGGGAAAGACTATTAATCCCAATGTCCCAGCAAGCTGACCCTGCTAGTACTTTCATTCCACCTTCCCTCAGTTTCTGGTAAAGAGTCATTTGAGCACAACCACGTCCTGCACTTCTCAATTGCTATGTGAGGGGGTGGCATTAACAGCAGCTGCTGTGCTCCTCTCCTGAAGTAGCTGCATTTCAGTGCCAGGGCAAGCAGCCTTGCAGGGCTGACAGGCCTTGTATAAAGGTTGGCTGTGTTCCTGCTACTGCCCTGTTTCTGCTGGGATAAGGGAACTGTATCCCCTGATCTAGCACAGCCCAGCACAATCCCTGAAGCTTTAGACCTGGCATTGTGGCCCTCATGGGGTGTACCAGGTGTAGCCATCTACCTCTGTGGGACTGGGTTCAGTGACCCAGCAGATCCTTTTCAGTCCTGCATTCCCAAGACCAGCACAGCCAGCTCTGGCAGGGCTGGATTAGTACAACAGAAGAGAAGGGGCAATATACAGTATTAGCCTGTCCACATACAGGGTGGAGGGAAGGGATGTCTCTGGACCCCTCAGACCTTTCTACATACTGGATCTCAGCCATTAGATGCAAATGCACCTGTGGTTGGGTGGCAGGGTGTTTGGGTCAGCATTTATTCTTTGGGGAGGGAGGTTTTTATGTGCACGTGTGCACATACACATAGAGTGGAATTGAAGAGAAATACATGAGGCAGATCACACTTGGGTAGCAGAGGTGGTGTGCACATGCACACATGCACACACTCTCTCTCTTTCTCTTTCTCTCTCTCTCTCCAAACTGTGGTCCTGTCCCATCAGGCCAGGGGAGCTGAGAACAGAGGGAGGTGGAAATTAATGAAGGCTTTTGCTTGAGGAAATTGCCTAATGCTTTAACTGAAACAAATTTTGGCAAGGCAAATGGGCAAGTGAACAGCCAGGCCAGGGATTGCTCCACCCTGCAGCCATGGAGGGAGATCTTCCTTCCACACCTGGGACCAAATCCTTGTGCAAGTGCAGAACAGGAAAGGTAGGGGTAGTCTGCTAGCAGAGGGCTAAAGGGCAGGGCAGGGGGGGAGGCTGAGAGCTTAGAGGTGACATGCAGCACCAGATGAATGCACTGGGTTGGCTGGGGAGATCCCTGGCTCTAGTGCTGCTCTGCTGGGTGATCTTGAGCAAGGCACATTACCTCTCAGTGCCTCAGTTTCCCCAGTTAAAGTATGGGAAACTTGCAGTAGGCCAGGGGCAGGCCTGGATTTCTAATCTACTGTGATAAGTAGCTACATTTCCCAGCTCACAGATTGCTTACTCAAGAAAAGTGTCAGGAAGTTGCCTTTCCCAGGTCCTGCCTGCTTCCTGCTGGCAGAGCATAAGGTGTAATTCCCTGTGAGGGCCCCCAGGTGCACTACAGCTCCATATGCAGGGGGAGGGAGAGAAAAAGGGAGGCAATAATTCCAGCTGAGTGTCTGAAAGTGAATCTAGCCCATGGGCTTCTGCATCCCATTGGGGGGCAAAGCTCCCCTGTGGGGTGCTGAGAGGCAAAGACTCTCCAAAGAGACTGCCACATAGCAAGGCAATGGCAAAAATAGGAATAGCATTGAGAAGTCCTGGCTCCCAGACCCCCTGTTCCAGCTCACCAGATCCTTCTCTTCTCCGCAAACTGTGACACAACTCAGGAGTCCTGGCTTCCAGCTCCTCCCCACTCTGCCCCACTCCAGCCCAGCAGATTGGACTTCCTATCTAAATTACTAGTCTAAATATGTAGCAACACTACTGTCCCAGGTGGGCAACTATAATTCACAGCACCTTTTCCAGCTGGCCCACATGGACTTAAGCACAAGGGTGGTAGGACGCCCAGGACCACCACCGGGTGAAGGCTTGGAAGGGCAGCTCCCACAATTTTGTCGAGTCTGTCAGTGTGTGATGATGCAACAGTGCTGGGGAACCTAGTAGGCAGAGACTGGGGACCCTTTACCACTGTTTCTGCATCAGCCAAAAGAACAGGCAGAGGGGTTTGTCTTGGGGGGTGGGGAG